TTTACCAGGAGTTTACCTGGAGAGAGTTCCGGGGGTCAACGCCCCCACGGCCCGGTCTGTGACCAGGCCTCCTGGTGGATCAGAGCCTGATCAACCAGGCTGTTACTGCTGGCTGCACACAAACCAACGTACGAGCCACAGCCCGGCTGGTCAGGAACCGACTTTAGGTGCTTGTCCAGTGCCAGCTTGAAGACTGCCAGGGGTCTGTTGGTAATCCCCCTTATGTATGCTGGGAGGCAGATGAACAGTCTCGGGCCCCTGATACTTATTGTATGGTCTCTTAACGTGCTAGTGACACCCCTGCTTTTCATTGGGGGGATGTTGCATCGTCTGCCAAGTCTTTTGCTTTCGTAGCGAGTGATTTTCGTGTGCAAGTTCGGTACTAGTCCCTCTAGGATTTTCCAGGTTTATATAATCATGTATCTCTCCCGCCTGCATTCCAGGGAATACAGGTTCAGGAACCTCAAGCGCTCCCAGTAATTGAGGTGTTTTATCTCCGTTATGCGCGCCGTGAAGGTTCTCTGTACATTTTCTAGGTCAGCAATTTCACCTGCCTTGAAAGGTGCTGTTAGTGTGCAGCAATATTCCAGCCTAGATAGAATAAGTGACCTGAAGAGTGTCATCATGGGCTTGGCATCCCTAGTTTTGAAGGTTCTCATTATCCATCCTGCCATTTTTCTAGCAGATGCGATTGATAAAACGTTATGGTCCTTGAAGGTGAGATCCTCCGACATGATCACTCCCAGGTCTTTGACGCTGGTGTTTCGCTCTATTTTGTGGCCAGAATTTGTTTTGTACTCTGATGAAGATTTAATTTCCTCGTGTTTACCATATCTGAGCAATTGAAATTTCTCATGGTTGAACTTCATATTGTTTTCTGCAGCCCATTGAAAGATTTGGTTGATGTCCGCCTGGAGCCTTGCAGTGTCTGCAATGGAAGACACTGTCATGCAGATTCGGGTGTCATCTGCAAAGGAAGACATGGTGCTGTGGCTGACATCCTTGTCTATGTCAGATATGAGGATGAGGAACAAGATGGGAGCGAGTACTGTGCCTTGTGGAACAGAGCTTTTCACCGTAGCTGCCTCGGACTTTACTCTGTTGACTACTACTCTCTGTGTTCTGTTAGTGAGGAAATTATAGATCCATCAACCGACTTTTCCTGTTATTCCTTTAGCGCGAATTTTGTGCGCTATTACGCCATGGTCACACTTGTCGAAGGCTTTCGCAAAGCCTGTATATAATACATCTGCATTGTTTTTGTCTTCTAGTGCATCTAGAACCTTGTTGTAGTGATCCAATAGTTGAGACAGACAGGAGCAACCTGTTCTAAACCCATGTTGCCCTGGGTTGTGTAACTGATGGGTTTCTAGATGGGTGGTGATCTTGCTTCTAAGGACCCTTTCAAAGATTTTTATGATATGGGATGTTAGTGCTATCGGTCTGTAGTTCTTTGCTGTTGCTTTACTGCCCTCTTTGTGGAGTGGGGCTATGTCTGTCGTTTTCAGTAACTGTGGGACGACCCCCGTATCCATGCTCCCTCTCCATAGGATGGTTAAGGCTCGTGATAGGGGCTTCTTGCAGTTCTTGATGAACACGGAGTTACACGAGTCTGGCCCTGGGGCAGAGTGCATGGGCATGTCATTTATCGCCTGTTCGAAGTCATTTGGCGTCAGGATAACATCGGATAGGCTTGTGTTAACCAAATTCTGTGGCTCTCTCATAAAAAATTCATTTTCATCTTCAACTCTCAGTCTGGTTAGTGGCTTGCCAAAAACTGAGTCATATTGGGACTTGAGTAGCTCACTCATTTCCTTGCTGTCATCTGTGTAGGACCCATCTTGTTTAAGTAAGGGCCCAATACTGGACGTTGTTCTCGACTTTGATTTGGCATAGGAGAAGAAATACAGTGGACCCCCGGTTAACGATATTTTTTCATTTCAGAAGTATGTTCAGGTGCCAGTACTGACCGAATTTGTTCCCATAAGGAATATTGTGAAGTAGATTAGTCCATTTCGGACCCCCAAACATACACGTACAAACGCACTTACATAAATACACTTACATAATTGGTCGCATTGGGAGGTGATCGTTAAGCGGGGGTCCACTGTACTTTGGGTTTCTTTCGATTTCATTTATGGCTTTTAGTTCTTCCCGCGATTCCTGACTCATATAAGATTCCTTTAGCTTAAGTTCGATGCTTGCTATTTCTCTGACCAGTGTCTCCCTACGCATTTCAGATATATTGACCTCTTTTAGCCGCTCTGTTATTCTTTTCCGTCGCCTGTAAAGGGAGCGCCTGTCTCTTTCTATTTTACATCTACTCCTTTTTCTTAGAGGAATAAGCCTTGTGCATACATCGAGTGCCACCAAGTTTCTGTTCTAGGCATAAGTTGGGGTCTGTGTTGCTTAGTATATCTTCCCAGCTTATATCGGTTAGGACTTGGTTTACTTTGTCCCACTTTATGTTTTTTTTATTAAATTGAATTTTGGTGAATGCCCTTCGGACTAATCTCATTATGTGGGTCTGGGGCTCCACCTACATGCTGACCTAAATTATTTTGTATCCAGTATATTTTTTTGATATGGTACATTTCAATCAGATCATCATTGTGTGAAGATGGGGAAATGTATTCTCCAGTCAGTGGGCTCATTATTTGCGGGTTTTAAATTAAAATTTTGTGCAGAGATTTAAAAGCTCGGCGAGTGTGATTTTTCATCAGAGCTGCCTCCTGGTGTTTTTACTGCAAAAATATTTTTGCTATAAAAACCTCCATTTTAGGTCCCTTAATTTAAATCCCCCAGGACAAGATGGGGGGTGCAGGAGCTGGAAGTTTTTTCCAGACAGTTGTCAATTTTTAACAGCTTTTTCCTGGAATTGCTGGATTTGCACCCGGGAGGCTTGAAGACACCACAATGACTGGGTTTTGGGTTCCGATCTTTACGCAAAACTTCCACTACATCATTTGAGGCATTAAGCATTCTGGCAAACAAGCACTTGCAATGTACAGGCCAACCCCCCCCCCCCTTTTGCTGTTCACTCTGCGCATCGTATAGTTTAACCTGGGTCCATATTTCAGCCAAGTGATCCTTCATGTGGGCCAGTGAAAGCCGCGAACTTGCCTTTGCCTCTGAAGCAGTCCACATAAAAGTATTTTGTTGTTTGTTGCTTTGGCTTTAGACCCTGAATTTTGCAAAGAAAATGTCACCCGACTGGGTTTTTGGGATGGAAACGGGGGAAGATTTTTTTTCCTAAACATGCGCAAAAAATGCAGTGTCACTTGCTCACAATCAGGGAGCGGGCGCACACACCTTTCCCCTGAGACAGAGAAGCAGATGGAAAGACAGACACAGGGAGACAAAAACAGATAAGCAGAACAGACAGACAAAGCAGAGCAGGGAAACAGACAGATGGGCCCAAAAAGACAAGATGATGACAGATAGACAACTGACAGCAGAATACAGAACAGTTTGTGTGCAAGAGTAAAAACATACAAAGGGAAGTTTTTTCCCCCCACAGGGCACATTCCGACCCTTGGGGGAACACCTGCTTCAAGGAGGTTCATACTCCACATGTCAAAAACATTTCTGGGACCCAAATACTTTTTATATATTTCTAGACAATGTCGTGACCAAGGCAAATGAAAATGTTCACCTGCAGTATGATTGTTACAATTTGAGTACTATTTAGACTAATACAGTGCAGAAAAAAGATTAACTACAATCACAAAACATAAAAATTTTAAATTAAAATAGAGAGAAAAAAAAAAGGCAAAACGGCAACACTTATGCAAGTGGGAGGACTGGGGTTTGGGCCGTCAGGGGACTCCAGAGCCAAAACCCCCGGTCTTAATATCTCGGGAATCTGGTCCTAAAATTTTTGGGGTCTTATACCACACAGAAAATACCCCTTTTTAAATTTTAAAAAAAAAAAAACGATTTTTTTTTTTTAAAATTCAGAGTGCCACGCAGGCGAACATAGATCTATGTTTGGACTGTTTAAAAACTTACGGCACAAGCTCATTTTCCAAGACTTTTTAGGAATAAAAAAGCGCTCCTTATATCCCCAGAAAATAAGGTAATCCAAAAACAAACATTTTTCGCAAGAAAAGAAACACAGTTAACCATGACTGCAACGAGCCCTCAATATAATGGACTTTTGAAATAATGGGTAAAATCCACTGGTAAATTGTACTTTTAACTGCTTAATTTTCAATGATTATCATAATAATAATAATAATAATAATAATAATAATAATAATAATAATAATATCGTAGTACATCTGTACTATATCAGTATACAGTAAACAAGTGCTCTCATTTTTAACATTCTGCTTACAGGGATACTCGAACAATCCCCTATTAGTGTTTTGTATCATTAAATTGAAATACAGCCTCTCCCCCTAACAACGGAAGTTCTGTTCCTAAGACTTCATCATTAAACGAATTCGCCACTAAGTGAGGAGTATACGGGGACCCCCGTTAACGATATTTTTTCATTCCAGAAGTATGTTCAGGTGCCAGTATGACCAAATTTGTTCCCCATAAGGAATATTGTGAAGTAGATTAGTCCATTTCAGACCCCCAACATACACGTACAAACGCACTTACATAAATACACTTACATAATTGGTCGCATTGGGAGGTAATCGTTAAGGGGGGGTCCACTCTACTATAATGGTGGTGGGGTTTTTGTCAACAATCTCCGATATTGTTTTAATGTCACCTTTGCACCATTTATAACATTCTGGTAATTTTTAAATGTTTTGCAGTAGTGTAACCCTATACTGATATAAACACAATAGAGGAAATCACTCTAATATACATTATTTAGGGATGAATACTGGTCAAGAGCCAGTCGTAAGTCCGAGGCATCGGTAAACGAGTGCATTTGCTAAGTGAGAAAGGGTGTATGTAAATTTAAAAATTTAAATAACATCTCAAAACAACGCTCTTGGCTGTGTTTTTCCTGTCTCCCCGAAGTTCACCCAACTTGAGCTGAGGATGTTTGCCTCGGATATGACGCAACTTTGACGAGGTGTTACCGTGCTTGGCCAACTTCTCGTTACATATACGACAGCTAACTTTATCCATTGCCCTCTTCTTCAAAGTGTCTCCAAACAGTTGATCTTTTCTTCTTCACTGAGGGTAAATCAATGGCCAATATATAGTAAACATTTAAACAAAAGTAAAATCATTAAGAAAATTTTACACATCAAAAAAGCAACATTATTTTTAGAACTTTGTGAAAAATTTATAATTTCTGTACCTCACACTTATATTTACTTGTGGAAAAAGGTACACATACATGTACTAACTCTCAAAGATAAAACTTACTCCATCCCCCCCCCCCAAAAAAAAAAAATTAGTATACACGGGAAAAAATAATTAGTGTACACGGAGAAGTAGGTTGATAGACAGCAACCACCCATGGAAGTACTACCGTCCTGCCAAGTGAGTAAACCAAAAGCCTGTAACTGTTTTACATGAGGGTAGGATTGCTGGTGTCTTTATTCTGTCTCGTAAACATGCAAGATTTCTGGTATATCTTGCTACTTCTACTTACACTTAGGTCACTACACATTGGGTTTTCTTCTATTTTCCTGCTAGTTCTTGTTCTTGTTTATTCCCTCTTATTTCCATGGGGATGTGTAACAGAATTCTTCCTCTGTAAGCCATGCGTGTTGTATGAGGAGACTAACATGCTGGGAGCAAGGGCTAGTAACCTCTTCTCTTGTATACAAATTTTAAAAAAGAAACTTTTGTTTTTCTTTTAGGGCCACCCTGCCTCGGTGGGATACGGCCGGTTGTTGAAAGAAAAGACATACAGTGGTCCCCTCAATAATCGTCCGGCCTGAAAGTTATCCAATTCGGAAATAGTCACGTTATTTCGTCGTAAACATTGGCTCGCAAATGGTCCGTTAACTCGCTAATCGTCTTTCGTCCTGGACGCGTACCACGGCTCTGAGCCGCCTTGGCCTCCCTTTCCCAGCCATGTGCCATTGCTTACCAGTGAGCGAACGGTCCCCTCACTGTTCATGACGAAATATTTCATAATATTCCATTCATTTTAGTGCTTGCAAGTGCCAAATAAGCTACCATGGCTCCAAAGAAAGCTCCTAGTGCCAAGCCTTTGGTAAAGAAGGTGAGAAATACGATTGAATTTAAGAAAAACTCAATGAACAATATGAAAGTGGAGTACGTGTGGCAAACTGGCCAGGATGTATAACAAATCCCGTACAACCATATCTTCCATCATAGCCAAGAAAAAAGGAAATCAAGGATGCTGTTGTTGCAAAGGAGTAACTATGCTGACAAAAATGGATCAACAGTACTGGAAGAGGATTGAGAAGTTATTATTGGTGTGGATAAATGAGAAACAATTAGCAGGAGATACTCTATGACTTCGATTATTTGTGAAAAGGCTAGGCAGTTCCATGACGATTTGGTAAAGAAATTGCCTGCAACTAGTAGTGATGCGAGTGAATTTAAGGCCAGCAAAGGCTGGTTTGAGAGATTTAAGAACCGTACTGGCATACACAGTGTGGCAAGGCATGGCGAGGCTGCCAGTTCGGACCACAAGGCGGCTGAAAAATATGTACAGGAATTCAAGGAGTACATAGAGGCTGAAGGACTGAAACCTGAACAAGTGTTCAATTGTGACAAAACAGGCCTCTTTTGGAAGAAAATGCCAGAGGGCCTACATTACTCAGGAAGAAAAGGCACTGCCAGGACACAAGCCTATGAAAGACAGGCTGACACTCATGTTCTGTGCTAATGCTAGTGGGGATTTCAAAGTGAAGCCATTACTAGTGCACCATTCTGAAAATCCCAGTGTTCAAGAAAAACTGTTATGAAGAGTAAATTTTGTGCGTTTTGGAGATCTAATAATAAGGCATGGGTCACGAGGGACATTTTCGTCGAGTGGTTCAATGAAGTGTTTGGCCCTAGTGTGAAGAATTACCTCCTGGAAAAGAAATTGGATCTCAAGTGCCTCCTAGTAATGGACAATGCACCTGCTCATCCTCCAAACTTGAATGACCTTATTCTGAAGGAGTTTGGGTTTATCACAGTAAAGTTCTTGCCCCCAAATACCACTTCTCTCCTCCAGCCCATGGACCAGCAGGTCATTTCAAACTTTAAAAAACTCTACACTAAAGCAATGTTTGAAAGGTGCTTTAATGTGACCTCAGACACTCACTTGACCCTAAGAGATTTTTGGAAAGAACACTTCAGTATTCTCCATTGCATAAGCCTTATAGGTAAGGCTTGAGAGGGAGTGACTACCAGGACTTTGAACTCTGCTTGGAGAAAATTGTGGCCAGATTGTGTCCACAGGAGGGATTTTGAAGGGTTTGAGGCAGCCCCTGATGAGCCTATGTCAGTTGTGAACTCTACTGTGGCACTGGGGAGTTCCATGGGGTTGGATGCGAGTTTAAAGAATGTGGAAGAGATGGTGGAGGACCACAATGAAGAGCTAACCACTGAGGAGCTGCAAGAGCTTCAGCAGGAAGAGCAACAGATCGCAGCCCAGAATCTTGCGGCAGAGGAAGAGGAAGAGATGGAAGAAGGTGCCTTCTTCAGAAATTAAGGAGATTTTTGAAATGTGGGGTAAGATGGAAAGATTTATGGAGAAACAACCCTGAGAAGGATGTTGCAAGCCATATCAGCAACTTGTACAGTGACAGAGTCTTTGGCCCATTTTAGGGATGTTTTAAAGAGACGCCAGAAACAGAGCTCTCTGGACAGTTTTTTTGCGAGACAGGACTCCAGTGACTCAAGCGGTCCTAGTGGCATTAAGAAACAGAGAAGTAACCCCACTTGGTACCTGCACTTGGTACATGAGGTGTTGAATGGAAGGGGATTCCCCTTCCAAACAGTAAATTCAATCTCTCTCCTCCTCCAGTCTTCCATACACTAAGAAGAATTGCCAATAAAGGTAAGTGTTAAGCTGTTAGTGTTTCATTCATCATGTGCCATTGTACTGTTTATGTACTATATCTATATTTCATGTAAAAAAAAGTTTATTTTAATACTTCTGGGTGTCAGGAACGGATATAATGTATTACATTATTTCTTATGGGGAAAATTGATTTGAAAATAGTCTATTTCGATAATAGTCCCACTTCCAGGAATGTATTATGGACGATAATTGAGGGACCACTGTATATAAATGGAAAGTGCTATATACAGACACAAGTTACCTGAGTTTTCTAGTGGAGGAAGTGATTCCACAACCTCTTCCACCTGCTGTTCTTCTAACTGCCACGAGACACCTTCCTGTCACAGTGGGTCCATCAGCATCCAGCAGGCATGCATGATCTCTGGATGCTGCCCTCGGAGATGTCTGATCATCATGGAAGTGTTACCATGCTTCGTGAGTCGTTTGTGACAAGTCTTACAGGCTACCTTATTATCCCCTTCCTCATCGAAGTGTCTCCACACTGCAGATCGTTTCTTCTGCATTGTACCTGTACATAAAAAAATAAGCCATGTCACTGTATATAACGGTGGCTAACATATTCAAATTTGTTTTATTTCTTTGCATAGCAGACAATGTGTGATTTAAATGTTATAAAATATTGTTAAGCACAAAGAAAGCCACTAGCATGCCTGAGCATTTTGGGCAGACTAATACTCATCCTTACAAACTACGTATTTATTTTATTTATTTATTTATAAATTTTAGCATACATAGAGAGGTACAAAAACTTAAAACTAGACATAGGTTATGGAGTGGTTAAGAGAGGGGGGGATTATTTCCTAGTAAAAGTAGGCCTTAGACAAGGATGCGTGATGTCACCGTGGTTGTTCAATATACAGTGGTACCACAAGTTTCGTACAGCTCCCAACTCGAACAATTATGCAAGTGTATGACTAAGTGCTTTTGTGAGTGTATTTTTGGAGGTCTGAAACAGACTAATCTAATTTACATTATTCATTATGAGAACAAATTCATTCGGTAACGGCACTCGAACAGCCTTCTGGAACAAATTATGTACAAAACTCTGGGTACCACTGCATTTATAGATGGGGTTGTAAGAGAAATGAATGCTCGGGTGTTGGCAAGAGGTGTGGGATTAAAAGATAAAGAATCTAACAAAGTGGGAGTTGTCACAGTTGCTCTTTGCTGATGACACTGTGCTTTTTGGAGATTCTGAAGAGAAGTTGCAGAGGTTGGTGGATGAGTTTGGAAGGGTAAGTAAAAGAAGGAAATTAAAAGTAAACAGGAAAGAGTAAGGTCATGAGGATAACAAAAGCTTTAGGTAATGAAAGATTGTATATCAGATCCGAGGAGTGAGTATGGAGTAAGTGAATATATTCAGATACCGTATTTAGGAGTGGACTTGTCAGCAGATGGGTGTTATGCAGGGTTCTGCATGACATCGTAATGTACATATAGTGGAGAAGTGTGCCATAATAGTATGAATATTATAGTTGTAAAGAATAATTTTATAATTGATAATGTGCATTTGGGGTACTGTAAATTACTCTAACTGTAATTATAAAGAAATTCTGTTAATGATTTATTTTCCAAGGATGTTTGGGTACGCAGAGTAAGCGTGGTTTGGGGGAGTCACGTGACGTTAGCATGGTGTGTAGAGGCTGGCATCGGAGATGCTGTGTATTTAAGATAAGTTTGTAGTTGTGCACTCATTTTGTTTATCCAACTCAAACCATAGGCTCTCATATGGCTTACCAGTATGTTCACCCAGGCTCTGACATGGTCAGTTTGCTGTGGGAGGAGTGAGGAAATAAGAAATGAAGCTGGGAGTGGAGTAGTGTGGGCCTGGTGCTGATGAGGCATAGTGGTTATGGTGGCTGGACCTCCAGCCAGCTGTTGTTTGTGTACCTTCATTTGGGCGTTTAGGATTAAGGTTTTTCTGTTATGTTATGTTATGGTGACTAAATAGATATATTTTCCTAATTGGGATGTTTGCCTAACCCTCTGTTACCCAACCCCTTTAAGTACACATACCAGTTTAGTGCTTTCTGTTTTGTCTGGGATGGCCCTGGGTGGCCAGTTTGGGCTAGTATGTGTGTAACTTTTACCTTTGCCCTTAGACCAGGCTCAAGCCCCCAGCTATCCCACATTTTTGCATAACAATGGGTTTATGAAAGATGAGGTGAATCAAAGAATTGATGAGGGGAAAAAGGTGAGTGGTGCACTGAGGAGTCTGTGGAGACAAAGAACATTATCCATGGAAGCAGAGAGGAGAATGTATCAATCAATCAATCAATTTTTATTTCCTTGCAGTATTACACAGATTATGAAATTACAAAAATGAGTTGCAGTGCAAAGAGAGCCACTATCATGCCTAGGCCTAGGTATGAGAGCATAGTTATGCTAACACTCTTATATGGGTGATTAATGTTGCAACAAGAAGGCTGGAGGCAGTGGAGATGTCGTGTCTGAGGGCAATGTGTGGTGTGAATATAATGCAGAGAATCCACAGTTTGGAAATTAGGAAGAGGTGCAGGGTTGCTAAAAGTATTATCCAGAGGACTGACAAGGGGTTGTTGAGCATGACTTGAAAAGCGAATAACTCTGTAGTGGAAGAAAGGCAGGGTAGGGGTCAGCCTAGGAAAGGTTGGAGGGAGGGGGTAAAGGAGGTTTTGTGTGCAAGGGGCTTGGACTTCCAGCAAGCATGCATGAGCATGTTAGATAGGAGAGAGTAGACACAAATGGTTTTCATGACTTGACGTGCTGTTGGAGTGTAAGCAGGGTAACATTTATGGAGAGATTCATGGAAACTGGTCAGCCACACTTGAGTCCTGGAAGTGGAAAGTACAGTGCCTGCACTCTGAAGGAGGGGTGTTGACATGTTGCAGTTTTTTTAACCATAGTGTAGGCAAGCCTCTGGCAAGACACTGATGGAGCAAATGCTGATAAGAGCGTTTCTTCTTTCTCGGGTCACCCTGCCTTGGTGGGAACAGCTGATGTGTTAATAAAATAATAATAAAATTAATACAAAGAAGAGAGGTAGGTCAATGAGTATAGTACAATTTAAAGTATGAATTAATTCTTTCAACTGATTCAGTGATCTTAAGTTAATTGGGATTTCTTAAACACTTCCAAACTGGCTCTATGTCATCAGACTACGAAACAATTTTAAGAGATGGTGAAGACACAGGAAGTTTATTAGATTTTCATAGAATTATAATGGCACAGGATGAGTAATTAATTTTCTAGGGAAGTTTGAGGAAAGGAAGACTGGAAGAACAGGGATAGAGTTGGACAAGTTGGCTTAGTTTGGCATTAGTACAGTGTTGATTTCATTACATTAGAGAAACAAGGTGATTTTTAATATGTAATAGCCCTAAACTGACTGGCAGACAGGAGACCTTTCATTAGTTCAGGCAATGAATTCCAGATCTTGGGGCTTTTTATATGCACTGCATTTTTGTACAGGATCAGCGAGACACTGGAGATGTCAGAGAGTTTTGTGTCCTGTGTTTTGCCTGTGTGTTCTGTTGAAGCTATCAAGGAGAAATTTCAGAGAAGAGTTAATGTTGGAGTTTAATTTCTACATATATATAATAAGTACAGTAATATGAGTGCATATTTTGTATAATAAGTAACTTCAAACTCTTGAGGAGCAGAAAAGTGTGTTGTCTGGAGCAGGAATTGGTGATCATCCACACAGCAGCTTTTTTCTTTGGTTATTAACCCTTTGACTGTTTCAGGCCCCTCTCTGAAACTGTCATTCTATGTCGCTCAATTTTTGAAAAAAAAATTATTTTTTCTTATGAAATGATAGAGAATCTTTTCCCGGTGGTAATGACACCAAAAGTTCGAACTTTGGTCAAAAACTCATGGAATTATGCTCCCGCGAATTTAGCGGTCTCGGCGACATAAGCGTATCGGCGATTTAGCCGACTTTGAGCCCTATTTTCAGCCAATTCCATTGTTCCAGTTGACCAAACTCTATGCTATTTCTTTAGAACTCCATTTTATCTATCAGCTGAGTACAAGAAACCTCCCATTTACTAATTTGGACTACCCAATATGGTCAGAAATTGGCAATTTGGCTAATTTCATGCAAACTAAAAAAGATGCCAATTTCAAAATAGGGTCCAGAATAAACAAGGTAGACATTCGTGGCACTAAAATAACATATGCTCTGTTCATTAGTCACATCTCTAGGCTCCTCTTATATTATTATTGCTTTCTATTTTGATTTTTTATTCATACAAAAAAATACAAAATTTACTGTTATGCAGACTACTGCATTATTGTAAAAATGGTATAAATAATATCAGTGCACTAGTGAAAGAATATTAGACTTCCCAGTTGACGTGTATTGGACGTGTGGTGTGATTTATTTACTCCTGAACATTGGTAAAAATCGAACATTTCCGCTACTTTGAGCTCAGTTTCAAGGTCGTTTTCATCGTCAAAGTAATGAAAATCATCTCTATTTCTGTAATATGTTTTCCATTTTATCACCTAAGACCATGAAAACGCGAATACAACGATAAATACTTTACGAAAATACACCTCAAAGTCGGAGTTTTATTCCAAAAAAAACGATCAGAGTTTTTTTTTTCTCATTACGCAATGTGTGCTGCAGGATTTTTTTTATGTGGTGCACACTGACCACACAGACCCATTCTCTCACACGTGGGCCTACCAGCTTTCTCCCACTTGATTTGAAGCCGCTAGAATTATTGAGTATATATACGTCAGAAACATTGGCTCGTAAGACGTATTTATACGTCGAAAACAGTCAAAGGGTTAATGGTTTAAGCTGATGACTTATAGTAGATCATCAAGCACAAATAGAGTAGTACAGTGGACCCCCGACTTACGATCAGCTCCCAACTCAGACAATTATGTAAGTGTATTTTTGTAAGTGCTTTTGTAAGTGTATTTTTGGGGGTCTGAAATGGACTAATCTAATTTACAATATTCCTTATGGAAGCAAATTCCAGATATGGTCAAGTAATGAGGCACTTGTCTCAGAGATTCTTATTGGCTTGGTTACTGATGGTGGTAACAAGGAGTTCTTGACTCACAAAATCGTAATGAGACGATTACAAACAAACCATACCACGGGTGGGGTTAGAACCAGCAATAAAAGAGTCTCAAAACTCCAGACTGACACATTAGTGTTAGCGAAGTCAGTTACTTTAGGTTCAGCTGCCTGGACGAGGTTTATGCTCAATTCATATTTGAGTCACTTATGTTTTTGAGGATGTCGCTGAATGTGTAAGAATTTTTGTGAGGTAACCTATAGACTGCTTCAACTGTATTAGGTTTAATTTTATGGGTGATAATTTTGCAAATATATACAGTGGACCCTCGACATTCGATACTAATCCGTTCCCGAGAGCTATCGAATGTCGAAAATATCGAAAGTCGAATTAATTTTCCCCATAAGAAATAATGGAAATCAAATTAATCCTTGCAAGACACCCAAAAGTTTGAAAAACAAAAATTTATCACATGAAATATTAAGTTTAATGC